GAGCAGGGAGCCCGATGCGGGACTCGATCCAGGGACTCCAGGATCATGACCTGAGCCGAAGGCAGTCGCTTAACCAACTGAGCCACCCAGGCGCCCCTAAAGAGGTGATTTTAAAGAAGTGTTTTGAACTTCTTTTCCCAAACTAGAAACTACCTGTTGATTTTGCAGGATATGACAGATTCTCTTCTTTGATAGTTGACTGTTTGGTTTAGAACCACGTTTTCCCAACCTCACGGGTAAAAGGGATCAGATTGACGGTTACCAGAGGTTGGGGGGGAGGGCACATAGGAGGAAGGTGGTCAAAAGGCATAAACTTCTAGTTACAAGATACATAAGTCCAAGGAATGTAATGTGTAGCACGATGACTATAGTCTAATGTATTATATATGTGAAAGTTGTTTAGAGAGTCAATCTTAGAATTCTCATCACAAGAAAAAAATTTTTTTTGCTTTCTCTGTATGAGATGATGGATACTAACGAAATTTATAGTGGTCATCATTTCACAGTATGTGTAACTCAGGTTAGTATGCTGTACACCTTAAACTTCCACAGTGATGTAGGTCCATTATATCTCAATAAAACTGGTGAAAAATAAAAGCGCAAATGTTAGCCTTTTACAGTGATTAAGCCTTCTGATGAACCACTAAGCGTTTACTAACTCTTGAGCAAAGCTGAGACTTAAACCAGTCATCCCTGTGCAGGTGCGAAATCGAGGCAACTCTCGAGAGGCTGAAGAAACTCGAACGGGACCTCAGCTGTAAAGAGCAAGAACTCAAAGAAAGGGAAAGACGTCTGAGGATGTGGGAGCAAAAGCTGACGGAGCAGTCCAACACCCCGGTGAGTGCTCCCACCAGGGTGGCTCAGCCCCCCACGTAGAAGATGTAGCCGAGCGGGGCAGCATGGCAGCCCCCCCCCCCCACCACCTCACTTGCTGCCTTCTGCCTGCACGGGAACGGGGCTGCGTTGACACTCAAGTAACACGCAGATCTAATTTCAATTAACAAAATGCCAGAAATTTAAAAGAAAAGCTTAGCCTATTTCTGGCTCTTTCTCTAAGAACTGTTATTATCAGTGTGTTTGTATATTAGAATTACAAAAATAAAATGCAGTGTATTTTCATACCATCTGTTAGATCCCCAGAACATGTGCCTAAAGGCTGATTAACTCCATGGAGTCCATCAGTAATTAATAAGCGTAATGCCGCGGCAGCTAGCTGTCCAAGAGTCTTGATGTAGCAGAACTTAACCAAGTTTTCCTCCTAAAAGAAAGCAAACTTAGTGACATATAAATGACAAGCATTAATATTCCTCGCTCGATTTAGTGTTATAATCATTGCAGCAAGAGATTGGAAAAAGACTTCCCTTGGGACAAGCCTCCAGTATTTACTACACTTAGGAAATACCTTGGTTTTCTTCCAAGTCTTCTATTTAGAGGAAAATAAAAATTCTTTTTAAGGATTTCACTAGTTACATATTTAGCTTGTGCCTATATCTTGCCATGATATGTTAAAGTCTAATCAAATTTTAGGATTCTTCCCTATTTTGAATGATTTATCATTTCAGGAATTAAGTTTATCATTGGCTTTTCCAGGGTTCTTAATGGGTAATAAATCACAAGTAACGGTAAAATTAGAGGTAATCTTGTTAGGTATCTTAAATTCATTTTTGATAGTTGCTGTGGCAGTTATATCCAAAAAATACTTAAATGCCCTTCACTTTGTAATCTTCAAAAAGGTTTCCTATTTTCAAAAGCCTTAATCTTCATTAAGCAGCCAGTGCCCAGGTGCAAAGTATTTTCCAGTGTCTAAAGAATAAAAGAGTTTGCCTCCTTTTCCAGTTCATGTGGAGAAGCAACCTGATATCCAGAAAAGGGAAATACAGTGAAGTTAAATGTTTATTATCAGATTTAACTTTTTCCGAAATGACTTTGGCTGTGCAGGGATTTCCAAAGTAAGAACTGAATTGCTATACGTAAGACTACCGTGGGACATTAAAAGGTACCACATTTTATAAGTTCAGTGAATTTAACTTGCCTCCCAAGAAGGAAGTCGAGGGAAGTCTCCTGTTCTGGTTGAATTGGTACCAACCGGCAGACTCAGAAAGCATTACCCTAAGGGTCTGCAAGGAGCACTGCTTCTCCCAGAGCTGAGGAGAGGCAGAAATATGGCTGTCTTCTGAAGGCTGAGAGGTGTTGTTTTTTGTTTTTAAGTACATTGAAATCTTAAGCTATAAAGCACTGCATGGCTTGACTCCTTCTAAATGTAGCATTGTTAAAAAAAAACTTTAAACTACCTGTTACAGTATGCCTTAGAATCTTTCTTTGGTTTATTGGCATTAGTTTTGCTAAGAAATCATGGGCTGCCTTGCACACATTATTGCTATTAGTAACGTTGTGTAATACATAATGAAACCGTAGGAGTGCTCAGTAGGTTATATGCTTGCGTTTTAACTCCAGAAAACTTTCTGTAAAGGACCTGCTCTGAAGGCTACCATCTAACAATGGACAGTATGAAGCATGGTCTCAGATTTTTTTTTTTCTTTCTTTTTTTCTTTTTCTTTTTTCTTTTTTTTACCTATGAGGGCTAAGTTTTCTTTCTTACAGTACTTGCTTTTAATGTCTCTTCTGCTTAGAGCTGGTATTTCTGAAGGAAAGAAAGTTTGTGCTCAGGCATTTTCTAAGTAGGTATTTTCTTTTATCCTTACATCAGTTTCTAGTTGACTTTAAATGAGGTTTCTGAGAGAAAGATAAAACAAACCTTTTTAAAAGGAAGTAGCTGGAGGCTTAGGCTTTCCATATGTGTGTAGCCTCATCTTAATTATAAAAGTTTAACATTTATGTAACTTCATAAAAGATGGAATTATTGGATTCCTAGGAAGGACACTATTATCTTTCCTGAAATTAAAACATTAGTTGAAGGTATCTGGGAAGATGAATTCTCCATACATAAATATGGACAATGTTTATTTTTTAATTATTGTTGTAGCTTGATGTAAAAATTTTCTTTTCAAAATAAAAACTTATTTGAGAGACAGCTGTTGAGAACTTAACATAATGTGAGGAAGGACCCATGAAATAATAAAATAAATCAGCAACAAAGCACTCCCTAAGAGAATCTAACATTTGAAAACAAATCTGAAAAGCTGGGAAGTTTGACTGCAAGGGAAGTAATATCCTGTTTCCAGTGTTAAAGGATCTAAAGCAATTTTTTTCTTCCATATAACTGGTACTTTTTAGCTGAAGCTTATGAAGTTGTTATTGAGCTAACAACTCTGGAGATCTTTTCCTAATAGAGTAAGATATTTTTTAAAAAAACTTGTGACTCCAGGGGGCGCCTTGTTGGCTGAGTTGGAGGAACATGCGACGCTTGATCTCTTGGCGTCATGAGTTCAAGCCCCACATAGGTTGTAGAGATTACTTTAAAAAAAACAAAAAACAAACAAACCCAAAAACTCCAATTTAAAAATTAGGAAATCGGCCTTAAAATGTATCTTTACACCCAGGATGTAAAGGTCATTCCATATGTTACTTGTATATTGTTTATCATAAATTTACCAATATTTAAGCAATACCAAAAATATAAGCCTCAGTTTGCTTATTCCTCAAAAGAAGCAGGAACACTTTTTAGATCCTGACAATTCTACCTCTGAAATGAATATGATCAATACTTATGGGAATAGGTTAGCTGTTCAAAATAATTACATAAGGTAGAAAATAGATGTCAGTGTGCACAGTGAGAGGGGGAATTCCTAGAAAACAAATTTTGCTAAAAGGACACTTAGAGAATAGAGCACAAGGTAACAGTCTAAATTAATACTAATTCCCTTTCCTCCCAGTTGTCATTTGTATTTACGTACTTGTTTATAAATTAAGTATTAGAGACAGATCTAGAGTTTGTTTACATGTGAATTATGTCATAAGTTGAATAGCATTATATTTGGCTGTAATAAATAATAAATGGAAACCAGTGAATTCTAGACTCATTTTTAGTTTAGTGTCAAATAGTAATCTAGATAAAAAGGAGATTAATGGCCCAGATTTCCATAGAAGGGTATTTACCACTGAACTGTTCTCACGCTTCCTCTAAGCTTTATTCTTTGGTACAACATTTCTTGATTTTTTACTTGAGATTTAATCTCTACTTATTTTCTTTTTTAATTTCATAGTTAGCTAAATGTTTCTGTGAAAGTGAAATTGGGAAAAATTAAGTGCAATCCTCAAAACTATTTTAAGTGATATGAGGGCTTAAAACTTGCAACTTCCTTCCCATCTGAAATTTGGCCTGCCATGATGCTTTGCAAACTTTTGGTTGTGATCTACTCTGTCATTTATAAATTACGGCAAATACGCTGGAGCCAGACCTGCCATTAAATAAATTCTCACATAATTCCCGACATTCATTTGTTTCACTAATCATTTACCTTCGGTGCAGCACCCACTAATTTTGTGGTATCTGTTTCTTTTATTTAAATTGGTCCTAATTTCTCTTTTTACTTCTGTCCTTTCTTTCCTCATGACAGCTTCTCTTGCCTCTTGCTGCAAGAATGTCTGAGGAGTCTTACTTTGAATCTAAGACAGAGGAGTCAAACAGTGCAGAGATGTCATGTCAGATCACAGCAGCAAGTAACGGGGAGGGCCATGGCATGAACCAGAGTCTGCAGGCCATGATGCTGATGGGCTTTGGGGATGTCTTCTCAATGAACAAAGCAGGAGCTGTGTTGCATTCTGGGATGCAGATAAACATGCAAGCCAAGCAGAATTCTTCCAAAACCACATCTAAGAGAAGGGGGAAGAAGGTCAACATGGCCCTGGGGTTCAGTGATTTTGACTTGTCAGAAGGTGACGATGATGATGATGATGACGGTGAGGAGGAGGATAATGACATGGATAATAATAGTGAATGAAACCAGAAAGCAAAGTAATAAAATTGAAAATGTTTGGAAAAACGAAAGAAACTTGCTATCTCAGTCTGTACAAAAACCAGTAAGGAGGCAGAAAACTAAGCACTGAATCTGTAGGCCAATCACATTTCTATGACGGTCATTTCTTGAATGATTTTACTTTTTTTTTTCTGCTTACAGAAAAATGGGGGGTGGGGGGAATTAAGCCAGAAAGGTATATTTAATGAGTCAGCAAATGTGGTGCCTGATTATAGAAATTTGTGATTCTATTACAATATAGTAGTTTTAACTAATTACATTCTGGCTTTTTTTTTTTTTTTAAACACTTTAACGTTTGTATTTGATTTGATTTCATTTATTTAATTGCTTAAGAAGACTTACATTTTGAAAAAGCACTCTTACCTCCTCTAATTCTTCTTTGACACTGATTTTCCTGTAACACACTACATTTTTTTTCTTATGATAATACACTGCACTGTCAGAAATAATTGATAGTGACTACAAAATCTTACAATAAAAAAACTGAGATGAAAGAAGGCTATAACAAATACTTCTTCCGAAATACCGAAATGCCAAGAATTTTCGATCCTTAATGGCACAGCTACTCACAATAAAATCTGAGAGATGTTCTCAATAGTACATTGGGAGAAGAAATGCTCTAATTTGAAACCATCAGCAGATGTTGTAGGCTTTCATACCAGTGCTAGTCCTGGAAGCTTCTGAACAACACACAGTCATCTAAGGCTTAGTTTATAAAAGGAGAAAGAGATGGTCTTAAAGGGCTACTTGTAGGCTGACACCAAGTGCTGACACAGACCAGCTGTGCACCCCCCCGTGCGGTGTGCATGTGTGTGTTTTCCAGAGGGGCAGGAGCATCCTGGGTTCTAGATATATGTATAAAGGTTTTAAAGAGGGAACTAAAAGATTATGAAAGGAATAGCACAGATAAGTTAAACTTACTGAGACAGAAGTACCAGATGAAGGGTCCTTTTTAGATCAAATCCAGCCTTCCAGAGTTGTCTTTTTTTTTTTTTCTTTTAACCCTGACTCAGCCATGCCAGTGTTAAACGGAAGTAAATGTAGGTGCTGCTCCGACAACCTAGTTCACCAGAGAAATATTCTCAGAATGTTATCATATTTGTCAAAGCTTGTTTAAACTGTAAAACACTGATAAAAAAACTACAAAACATTTGTAGTCATATATATGTATGCATACACACACACATACACGCACGCGCGCACACACACACAGAAAGGCAAAGGCACAAAAACTTTTTTTCACTCTGTATTGGGAAGAAGTGCCATTCATTTGACTATTAAACTAAAATACTTCTGGTGGTTCTTTTTATGGGAAATTTAAGAAAGGATATCATCATAGATATTATCTAATACTATTTCCAACTATATTCAATCATAAAAAGCCTCTTGAAATTTGAAACATGACATGCTTCTAATCCCTATTAACAGCTGAAAAATATCACAAAATGATCAGTACGCTGTGCCAGCTTTATTTGGAGAAAAATAACTATTAAAATGTTCTGGGTGTGAAATGTAGAACAATCTATATACTATACACAGTGAGATAGAAGAATCCGGAGTCAAATTAGGATTCAGAACTGCTGTGTAATCTGTTAAAAATTATTTAACCTCTGTGTGTCTGTCTGCTCATTTTTGACATGGGAATAATAACAGGACCCACTTGAAAGGACTGTTGTAAGGATGAAATGAAATATTACATGTAAAGCACTTAACACAGTACCAGGCCCATGGTAAGTGGTCAGTTAATTTTAGCCAGTGAAAAGATACTAAAAAAATAAGTAGTTACAGTAACCTGGAAAACAAAACTATCAATTTCAAGTCATGTTTGTTGAGTAGTAGGAGATGGAAGTTAAAGTGAATAGCTTTCAGGAAAGATATGAGAGAACATTCTTAGAATATAAACTATATAAACAAATTTAATCTGTTGCTCTTTGAAGCCTGTGTACCTGAGGCGTTTGCAGGCCCTGCCTCCACCCACAGACTAAGTAAAAACAGAAGGAATAGGTAGACCTTTCCCCTAGAGGATGGGTTCCCTAGTAGCCAGTGGTACACCTCTGTCCATGCAAACATACACAGATACGTGCTCACCGCAAGCTAGTCCTGGCGGCACCCAGGCACGAGCACATCCAGGCATCCTGTCTGTGCTCAGCAGAGATGTGCTCCCTCCCTCAGGCTGAGCCCCTCAAGCAGAACATCTGGGAGTGCAGCAGAGGGATGGTTTTCGACTCTCGACTTTGCGGCATGTCCAGGTCACTGTGGTCTAGCAACCTGAAGGAGAGAGCCAAAGAGGAAGCAGTTTAAAAGCCTCCTGCACATCTTTCTGGGTAAAGGTAGTTATTTGTTCCACAGATATTCATTGAGCCCCCTCTCTGTGCCAGGTACTGTTCGAGGGACCAGCTAGAGGGGAATGCTTGCGCTCATGGAGCATCCATGCCAGTGAGCAGAGAGCCTGACAATCAACAAAACAAATGCCCTACGTTATGTAAACGTTTGACAAGAGCATGCTGAGAAGGGGAGCAGGGGAAAGAGGATAACACACACAGGGGAGTGTTGCGGAGTTGACACTGGGCAGAGAAGGCCTCACTGACAGGAATCTCTGGGCTGATATTGGGATCTGTGCACTTTACATAAGAATCTAAACCCTGTCTCTCCTCTGTAAGAATCATCAACAAAATTAGAACATATAAACAGAATGAAACTGATATTTTTCTTCATTTACATAATAAACCTATTGTAATTACACATAAAATTTTGGTGCATTAATAAAAGGAGCCAGTTAGGGCCCAAAGTGAAAGGTAATCGGACTCTCTATACTCAGACCAAGGTTTACCATTAATTAGGTAAGATTTCCCCGATCTCTCAAGCGCTGCCATTTTCCTCACCAGTATTCCAGAGATGGTTGTAGCTCAATACTCTTACCACGAAGAAACCTCAGGGATTTAGGATACAGCAGAATTGAAAGCTTCAGTGACAAGCATGAAATTGTTCTCCACTTGGCATCGTATTTTAATTGCCACACAGCATTATTTTACTCTGTTCCAAATCAGTGTCTTTCTACGGTTTTGAACATCCCTAAAATCTGAATCATATAAACAGAATTTTAAAGGGGTCTCACTCTGTGAAGATTATGTAGAAGACTTTTAGACTCTATTATTAGTTTTATTACTTTTTAAAAGAACTGTTTATTACATAGAATTTCTAAAGATGATGTTAATTGTGCACCTTCTAATTCACTTTTCAGATCAGTTTTTGAAATGGCAAATTATTGATGTTGGATGTATTTCCAGTTACTTATCTTACAAGAATGTACATTTATAAAGAGAATAATTAAAGAAACACTAAGAAATTTAAAGATTCAAAATGATAACAAACTCTGTAGTAATAATTGTCAGAGCCATACAACTGAAACTATAACTACTCTTTTTCATCTTTTTTTCTGTATTCATATAGTCGATCATACAGATCATACACTTTCATCTGGGGCCCCTAATGGTGTTCCCGAGTGCTGGGACAGATTTTGGGTTGTCACAGGGACTGGGCGTGTGTGGAGTGCCCAGCGCCAGGGGCAGCCCCACCCAGTGAAGAACTCCATCCACAATACCAACAGCATTGTCCCTCCCCCCACTGAGAAACTTGCTAAAGCTGGCAGTTTTAGAGTTCTACATCTCATTTCCCACCTAAACAAACTTGCTCAAGTCAAAAGATGCAGTTTCAAAATGACAACTGCTATACAATATGAATTTTATAGGTTGGTGACATTTATCTTAAATCCCCACCTGTAGAAAAATGGGTTCTTTCCCCTGAAGAATGCTGGTGGAAACTTTATAAAATAGCAAAATGATGTATTTGGGGGAGGGGGTCACTCTCCTATTAGACTAATTCCAAAATAAAAAAGAAACCCATCACCGAGGGAGGTTAATTTAAAAGGACTCTCTGTTGTAAAATCACATTTTAATATTCTACATTTCATAACCAAGGGGAAGTAGTTGAAGGCACAGAGCACACTTGTTTTGGACGGTCTGGAAATGTTGAGGGCCGGCGTGCAGCCAGTGATTTTTAACACGCAGCACATTTGTTAGACTTCAGCAACAGCTGAGGTATTCAGAACAGATCCCCATTAAAATCAAGGAATCGGAGGTAAGATGTGGGAGAGAGCCAGAAGGACTTCTCATAGCACTGTGATGTGTACATAACTTTATTTTTCAGAGTGCTCACTGAGCATTTCATAAAAGATCATTTTAAAAGCTACTCTGAGTTAAATATTGATACCCTTTTTGGTTTTTGGTAACACTGGACTCGCTGCGGGCCTGTTACACCGGGCATTGTCTCACCACACCACGTTTATGGTAGAGCATCATTTTTCTATCATCAGGCACCTTTTGCTGCTTTGGAGTCAGACTGCTTTCCTGTTCTGACTTTAAGCATTGCCAGAGAGAAGAATCTGTTCTGTTCTGTTTGGGTTGCGGCCCAGCCTGCAAGTGGTAGCATTTCTGTGATGGAAAGGGAGTGTGTACCAGGGAACCCGAAGGGCTACGCCGTTCCCTCGGGCTGCAACTGAGTTGCATTCTGCGGCCTGGGAGGAGCTTTCGGGCATGTGATTACTGACTTTACAACTAGCGTTTTCAGCAGCTACATTAATTATTTTATATAATGTGCAGAATAGCTTATCTTTTAACGTCAGATACAATACACTGCACATACTGCTTTTGCGCTCTTTTAAAAAATTTTGTACTAAATAATAGGAAATATTTATATTCTTTGAGTGTGCGCTTCGAATACAGGATGGCATTATCACTTTATTTTTTTAACAAAACCTTTTCCTCAACTATTCTATTACAATGTTATTCTGAGCAAATCCTATGCCATATATCTTGTATAATGTTTTATGGAAGATTACATTTCACTCGTGTGTGGTAAGACTACTCATTATCGATTTCGTAGTTGGAATTTGATATTCCAGCACAGAGTCCACAATGTATTCAGAAATCCAAGTTGGTGTCATACATTTCATTTTGATGTGAACTTTTCTTTGCTTTTCTTTGTTTTAAGACTCCATTTTGCAATAAACGTTTTGACAGTAAATCCCTTTGTAATGTGTTGCTGTGTATATTAGATCTTTGTTAGACTGGATTCCCAACATCCTTGGAAGGAATCACTGTCACATGCATGCACATGAATGTGAGCTTTTCTCTCCCGACATCAGTTGGGTATAAATAACGAATTTGCAAAGTGATGGGACAGTCACAAGGTGGATTTTTTTTTTAATCCCCAAAGAACGAAAGGCTTAGAGCTCACCCTACAGCAGATACACTGACATGCTAAGAAGGTACAGAAAGCATAAAGGAAATGGTAAACCACGATGTGGCTGGAGATCATTAACTCTTACCTCGGTCTTGCCAAATTCAAATCGTCTTGAAGCAGTGCCTGGCTCCCGCCTCCCCCTCACTGATCTCTGCAAGCCTGGGGCAAGAATCCTGCCGGAGGGATTAGCAAGCTGAATCTATGCCTTTCCCTCGGCATCAGAATCTTGCTGAGTCACCCTCAGAAGGCTCGAGAACTCTTCCCCTCTCCTTTGGACCCTAAAACCAAATATGTTGGTTTTGATTAGTTGTCACGTGTACAACTTTTATTCAAGAAATACTTATTTCTCTATTTTGTTTAGCACACCATTTGGGAATTGTATACAAACCAAAACACTACAATCGCCCCACTCCCTGTAGAGGCTAGCCTTAATGCAGGGAAATATTTCTGTAACTCAGTCTATTGTTCCTTGAACTTTTCAAAAAAGTTCCTTGTTTCACATTGGTTTCTGTGATGGGAAAAGGGAATGACACATTTCTGCAGCTGTATTCAGCTGCCTTGTGAAGACATAAGACTTGTCATGTACCTTCTGTGATCAAATTCAGTTTTAGATTTTCTTCAAGTCATTTTCCTTTCTGCATCATTGAAGCAGGTGAGTGCATGTGACGATTCTGACACATGTCAAGTATTTCAGAGGAGGGGAGGGGCAATCCTGAGGGAACTAGGGCACATGGGTACATACAGAAGAGCAGTGATTTATACCCTTGCAGCTTAGCCATAATATTCAAACTCTACACATTCAAATATCCTGTAACTTGCAGGTTTGTTTTGTTTTGTTTTAAACCTGCTTGACTCCCTAGAGATTTTAACCGTTGCCAGCGAGAATTTAAGCATTTTCAGCAAAGCTGTTAAGCATTTCCCCTTTATCCTCCAAACATGCTCACACTGCATCCAGTGCTCCGGTAAGGCAAACATGCCCCCCCTTCCCTCCTCTGCCCCCTACCACTGCCAGTGTTTGGCCTTCTTGCCTCTCCTCACCCAGAATCGCTTCTCTCTTTCTTGCCCTATAGTACCCAGCTCAAACCACCACCATGCCTTCTGTTCCCCCATCTTAGTCTGTGAAACCCTCGCTTTTCCCGTGCTAAACCCAGAGAACTGAGCATTTTAGTTAAATGTACCTTGCAGTTGTATTCATTCAAAAACATGGTTCAACAAAAACTTACCAAGGATTGTATGCCAGGCACTGAGTAGACCAGCGTGAAGGTAGCCTTGAACTCCTCCATCTATAATCCATATCTATTTCACCCCCAATTAAATTAAAAGCTGCTTGAAGGGAGGGGCATACTTTTCCTAGCAGGGATTTAAGCATGTGAGTTCAAAATATTTGCAGGTTAGAAGGATTAACTCACCCACCCTCTGATTTGAGAGTAATATTAAAAGCAACCAACTTCTTTTTTCAACTCATTCACAGAAAAAATCTCTGTAACAAAGGTTGAAAGACACTTTGCCATGTTATCTTATGAGCAATCCAACCATTCTGGCAAGATAAGTTAGTTAAAGCTAATGGCTATGGCAAACTTTAATTCAAGACACAGGACACACCAAGATTTTTCAGATTATGTAGGCATGTCTCATTTAGTCTATGGCCATGGACATATATTGAAACGAGTAGCTCTCTGGCTTTGCAAATGATGCAGGCCAACGTTCTTTTGCAAAGCCACCTTTCGTGTCTACACCTGATAGGTTAGTTGAGTTTCCATTACAGCAAACTCTGCAACCTGGGTTTCTTGGGACAGAGTCCCATCTAACTCGTCTTTCATCCATGGGTCCTAATACTTGGTTAATGCCAATGAGTCATTTGGTTAAACACTTAGAAATTCTCCTGTAAGCAGCAGCATGTAAGTCATCTGAGTACCAAAGAGTTGCTTTGGAATTTTCTTTAATAATCATGTGATCTTCATGCTGACTGTGAATTCCAAGGGAGGCTCTGGTTTCTGGCAAATGTCAGCAACTCTTGACTGCCAAGCCCCATTGAGGGAGATGTGTGTGTCAAGTACCAAGAGAGGACAGTATCAAGATCTACAGTCCCGCTGCCACAGTTCACCAAGTGCAAGGAATTGTTATAGAGAAGCTGGTGCCCGTGGTTGGCTTCTGTGGGCACAATGCTTGGGGCACTGAGAAATTCCCCATACGGTCAGGAACCTCACCTGTAGGAGGAACCAAGCCAGAGCAGCAGCGGAAAGCTGAAATGGGAAGACAAGGGATAAACCAAAAAGACAATGGTAATATTGCTTTTGTTTTTCACTGCGTTCGTATTTCCCATGCAGCTGCTGCCCTCCTTTGAGATTGGCTCGTGGACTGAAGACGACGTGGTAAGCCTGCTTCTGTTAACGCCTCATTTGGCCCGGGCAGGTGGTTCAGACGTTTGTCCACAAGTTACAAATGCAGCCAGAGGGGTCTGGGCCTTAGCAAAGTCTAAGTAGGAGAAGTTGACAAATTCCTTGTTTTTCTATTTTTAATGCAGTAATGATTTAAAATAAGGCCTCAAGAGCAAAGCAAGTATCTCTTCAAATCTTACAAGAGGATTCCACCTCCCTATTTGCTCTGAAAGGTATTCCAGAATACTATCATGAATACCAATGACAGTGTTAAAGGAGTGATCCAGGATACCGAATGAACATTTGTGAAAAAAAAATTTGATCTTAAATTTTCCTATAATACCAAAGATGGACTTGAACCACAGCGGAAAAAGATCTGGTAAAGGCAGTGCTAGCTGGGATTCTGCAGAACTGGGTTTCCTTCCTACCTCAGGCCTGTTTGGAAGTGACAGGTTCATCTTTACTCTGGCCTTCCCAAGGAGGAATGGCCGCCAGCTCCCAGACATTCTCTGCAGCTGGAGCCAGAGGATGAGGACAGATTATTTAAGTCCAAAGGAAGTTCTATACCTTACACTTGGGTAGAAACCCTAAGGGGTAATCCTTCTTAGCCTGTTGCGTCTCTCTGTTTCTTTAGTGAAAGGTCCAGAAAATTCTTGATGAGAGACCTCAGGGGCTTACGCCTCTCCAGGTCCACTTTATATGCTCAAGGTATCATTATATGAAAAACAGCTGTAATGCCAGGCCGCAGGGAGCCCCTACCCCAGGGGACAGACCGGATGCCACAGGGTACAAACTCACTACTGCAAACTCTTGGGAAGGTCTGTTTATCTAACTCAACCTGGTTTCTGGACTGGGGCATTTTCCTCTCTGCCTACTGTATTCTGGTGAAGTAAAACTGTTTTCAACATTAGCTAACTTCTTTGGCTTATAGCATAGGGTGTAAGAAAACTTGGCACCACTTGTCTCCACTTCTTCCCATTCATTGGGCCTCCTTGATTGTAAAGTTCCACCAGCCCTGCTTTAACAAGGAAAAAGAACTTAGGATCTCCTTTTTCATGGGCCTGGATAGAATCTCTTTATCCCGAGCTGCAAAGTTGGCCCATCTCATTTGAGAAGAAATTTTTTAAAAAGCACTGAGCTCTAATAGTTATTTTTAGTCTTTTCTCTGAGGTCGAGTGATTTTCAAGCCATGTAAATAAAATCCCAGGGTTAAGGGCTCCCCAGAGAATTGCTGGGACTGGGTCTGGCCTCCCTTCCATCTATGTGAGAGGCTACCAATAAACACGTGCCAAGTTAAATTCAGGGACTGAGGGTCACTGGGTCCAACTTCATTCTATACAGGAAGTTCTGAGCTTTAACCTGTCTTGGGCCACATAGCTACTTCCTGACCAGGCCTAGAACACAGGGCATATTCTGCCCACTCCTCTGTCCACCGCTGTGTGGTCCCTGTTCCTCATACAATTCCCGGGGAAACCAGTACCTCTCAGCAACCCCAGGGACCACCAGCACATAAGAAGAAAAATCATTATAAGTAAGAACCTTCTTGAAGGATTTTTAAAAATCTCCCAAATAAGGAGGAAAACCAACATTCCCTTAAGTGTCCCAAGACTTCCACAGGGAGGGATATCTCCTACTTGAAAGCTTGAAGTTTTAAAACCATAAAGAGAATGTCTTTCATTTTACCTTTGTGGTTGAGTCAGAAAATTACAGATATTTTAATCTATTGAAAAGTGTGAAGTCGGCCACTGACCACGTGTGAATCTTCAAAACCATGTATGTCCTCTCTTTCACAGTATTTTTGGGTTCAGCAGCTCGTCAGAAAAGGCAAGTGGAATAACTTAACCTTCTTAATTCATGCAGTTAACTTTGCTCTGGACAGGATTTCTTCTAATGTTGTTCTGCCTTCTAATCCCTTCCTTCAGGAGACTCTTCAGCAGAGATGAGCGTATATGCAAGCTTGTTTAAGGAAAACAACATTACAGGAAAGCGACTGCTTCTTCTGGAGGAAGAAGACTTGAAAGACATGGGCATTGTCTCCAAAGGGCACATCATTCACCTGAAGGTACCTCAGAGAGGGAAGACGTTCGGTCAGCAATCTTTGCTGAGCACCTACCCTGTAGCAGACCCTGTGCCCGAGGCTGAGGATACACACACACAAAGCACTGGCTGTTACAATACTGAATGCTTCCACACCAGCTCCTAATTAGCTGCCATCCCCATGGGACCCCTACTCCCTCCTCATAGTCCAACAGCAAAAGGGTTAACACCCGGCACAGCAGAAGTCACCTAGATACACCTGAATATCACTCCATGGCCTCAGGAAGTCTCCAATCTAGTAGAGAAGATAGGTGTTAATCATGCAAGAATGGTCAAATGACAGTTGTAGGAAATGCCACAAAGGAGAAGTGAGGTTGGGTGAGGAAAGTCTTCTGCAGAGAAGTTAAGAAGGAGAGCTGAAGGGCGCCTGGGTGGCTCAGTCGGTGAAGCGACTGCCTTCGGCTCAGGTCATGATCCTGGAGTCCCGGGATCGAGTCCCGCATCGGGCTCCCTGCT